TTTCCAACAACACAAGAGGCGACTCTACACATGGACATCACCAGATGGGCAATACCAAAATCAGATTGATTATATTCTCTGCAGCCAATGATGAAGCTCTATACAGTTAGCAAAAACAAGACCTGGAGCTGACTGTGGCTCTGATCATCATTTTCTGACCACCTTATCTATCTACTGAGAAATCTATACGTGGGACAGGAAGCAACAGTTAGAACTGGATATGGAATGAGGGGAAAGAGGAGAGCGCAAAAAATGGTCTGAAACTCAACATCATAAAAACTAAGATCATGGCCAGTGGTCCCATCACCTCCTGGCAAATAGAAGGGGAAGACATGGAGGTAGTGACAGATTTTACTTTCTTGGGCTCCATGATCACTGCAGATGGAGACAGCAGCCCCAAAATTAAAAGGCACCTGCTTCTTGGGAGGAAAGCAATGACCAACCTAGACATCTTAAAAAGCAGACACATTACCTAGTCAACAAAGGTCTGTATAGTCAAAGCTATGGTTTTTCCAGTAGCAATGTATGGAAGTGACAGCTGGACCATAAAGAAGGCTGACCGCCGAAGAACTGATGCTTTTGAATTGGGGTGCTAGAGGAGACTTTTGAGAGTCCCCTGGACTGGAAAGAGAAGAAACCTATCCATTTTGAAAGAATTCAACTCTGAGTGCTCACTGGAAGGACAGATCCTGAAGCTGAGGCTCCAGAGAAGACTCCCTGGAAAAGTCCTTGATGTTGGGAATGTGTGAAGGCAAGAGGACAAGATGACGAGGAGATGTTTGGACAGTGTCATTGAAGCTACCAACATGAATTTGACCCAACTCCGGGACGCAGTGGAAGACAGGAGGGCCTGGCGTGCTCTGATCCATGGGGTCACGAAGATTTGAACATGACTTAATGACCAAAGAACAACTACAACTCATGATGACTCAGTGATCAAAAACATGCAGTCTAATCGACCAACCTGCCTTCCTCACTCCACAATTAAAATCAAAATAACAGATCAGTAACTTTTAAGTGTAAATGTTTTCTGTAAAAATCTTGATATACACTGTTGTCCTTTTTAAAAAAATCACAGCAATGCAATTTCAATATTCTGAATAATCTCTGCTAAACATTTAAATCAATTTAAGTATTTGGTGTCTTTTTGTTAAGTTACCAGCTTTGGCTTTTATGCTGTCACCATGAACTGATTAAAAACAGTTTAACTTTAAGGAATCTTCTTTTGTGATACCTGAACAGAACTTGGCTCTTATCTGATGCTATATAAAATACTTAGATTAATAGCAACAGCTGCATTTTCCACATATGGCTGAAAGGTTCCTGCCCTGACCACATGATCACTCTAGTGCCTAGAAATCTGATAGCACTAGCACTTCTGGCTTTTTAAAATCTATGTTGTTAGAAAACCAATGAAACTCAACTAATAATCTGTAGGTGAAAGACTTCAATACTAGAAATTTAAACAGTAAATGTTCAAAGAGAGCTTTAATAAGGTCCATTCTTAAGAAGCCTAAGATGATACAATTTTTCAATCAAGAAAAGCCTTAAACTAGACTTTCCAAGATATATTTTATTGTTAAATGTCAACTATGCATTCAAGATACCACTAAAGTCCTGAAGTTAAGACATTTTGTGTGTGGATCCCATGCAGCAAGGATGGGGAATGTTGTGGCCTGTGCATGCAGGACTTAATCGTTAATGGTTGGGGGAGTCCAACTACTGTCTGAGCGACCACCTTTGCCCTGGGCACCAGAACATGAGAGCATGGAAGAGGGGACCACTGAAGCCATTATGAACCATGCTGAAGCCTAAACGTCAGGACAGCAGTAACCTAAGAATTTAAAAATGCAGCCCTTCCAAACCCTAAGCGCGTCCAGCTTACCCGCCGGACCGTCTTCCCTAGAAGGAATGGAACGAGCCTGCTCGCGATTAAGCAGGAGGCGTCCAGGGCACCAAGCAGCGCTCGAAGGTTATAACAAGTGGAAAGGCCACCGCTTTCACTGGGCTCTCCAACCCACAAAAGTTACCTCGCCCTTTTGTGAATCCGATGACCCACACACGCCACAAGGGCTTGCGGCCACGGCCGTCGAGGGCGCGAAGCTCGTACTGTACACTCTTCTTGAAAGCCTTCTACACGCCAGGCCCCAGAAAAAGATGAGCTGCACCCCCCCCCGCTCAGGGAGGGGTCCAAGCCCTCTCCTCCCTCGGTGGCCTTTCTCTACCCCGCCACCGGCCTGGGTGTTTGTCAAGGATGCTGAGCGGCCCCCTTCACGCCGTCGCGCATGCGTGCCTGGTGTTTATTAAAAACTCACTGCGCCACGGTCGCTGGAAAGCCCTTCCCTCGGGAAAGGAGTAACCTGAGCGAGTGGCTCTGAGGCGAAGTTGTCTCGGTTGCTCTGCGAGCCGTTCCACGAGGTCCGGTCCGTGCACTTCTCTGTTCCTTTCTCCCTCTCCCTGGAAAAAATCTCCCCGGGCCACTAACGCCGCTTTTTCCAGAAGGTTCTAACCGCACCACCCAAGACGAAGCGAGACGGTGGCGACGCCTGCGCACTCGCACTTACTTTCTGTCTCCGCCCTCTACTCGTCTCAGGGCCCGTTATTCCCTTCCCCCCCCCCTCGTATTCGCCGGCATACGTTGGGAAGAAAGTTTCAATTTCTCCTGCCGAAGGCCGAGACGTTCTGAGGGAGGGCGATTATGACGAAGCCCCTCCGCGCGGAGCTTTCCTTTATCTCCCTCTGAACGTTCGCGACCGCGACGCGTGCCTGCCCGCTTCTCTCGTCCTTCGGTCGGTGGTCACGTGAGGGACCCTTCAGCCAATCCGAAGGGCTAAGGACAAACCGACGTTCTGACGGGCTGAGTGCGGGCGGGGGAGTTGGGGGGGGCGGCGGCAGCAGCAGGAGCAGCAGCAGCAGCCGCCGAAGGAAAAGGGGAGAGACCGAGCTGAGGGGAAAGGGAGGAAGGAAGGAGTGTCGTCAAACCCCCGACTCTTAGCGTGGCTGCCGGAGTGGGCTGGAGGCTCCCCGTGCCGCTCGCTGGCAGAGGGATTCGCTTCCTTGCCGAAGGGCGGCACGTCTTGTGAGGAGTCGACTCCCTTCCGCTGAGGGGAAGGTAAGGTAAGGAAACCACCGCCACCAGTATCGCCGCCGCAGATTCCCTCGGGTTTGGGGGGAGGGGGAGGCGGACGAGGAGGAAGAGGCAGCGACAATTCCGCGGATGCCAGCCCGTCTTGGGCGGGCGGAATGGGGAGTAGAAATTGGGAAGGAGAGGCTGAGGCGGGGAGAAAGCAGCTGTCGTGGCTGGTCTGTGGTTCCCCTGTTCCTCATGTCAACAATACGTGTCTGTCAAACCCCATCCTTTCCGCAAATGTGGCTCCGTCTCTGACCTTTTCTGTGGTCGAGGTGTGAGTGTATCATGAGGGGAGTACTCGTCCCTTTCAGTGCCTCCCCTGTGTATGTATGCCCGTGTAAGGAGCTTCCTTTCTCTTCCCCCCCCCCTTCCCCACATGTATGCCTTCGTTCCCCGTGGTGTCTGGGAGTGGAGTGGCGTGGGGGTGTGGGGGGGTCCGGCTTTGTAGAGATGTGAGCTGCTGCCTGTCTCCCTCGTCCTTGTGGCGAGCGTTTGGGAAGAGAGAAAAGAGAGGCAGAAAGAACACTCCCCCTTCCTTCCCACTCCCTTTCTTGCGCTGCCTTAACTCGTCATGGAGGTACTGCAGCCCCTTCGCTTTCATGGTAACACGTACCAACCCCTTTCTGAGATCTCCCGGACACACCTTCCCTCGCTGGCTCCCCCAGACCGGCTTCTGAAGCGAGATAGACGGGGACTGTCAGTCAGCATTAAAGGCTCGCTCAGCCAGCAAACAACCTCCTCCTCTATCTCCCCGCCGCCGCCGCCGCCGCCGCTCGTTCCCAGCCTGTCAGTGGGGTTGCTGCTGCGGCTGGAGCCATGGCTGCCGCGGCTGTCACCGCCGCTTTCTCCCTCCTTGTGGGGCGGTGTGTGCTTTTGGTGTGTTTTCTGTCGTATTCTCCGCCCCACGCGGAGGCTTCTGTTTTTGTGGGTGAGAGTAGGATAATCGCGTTCAGTAATAATGATAGTGCTGATAGCAGTGAGTTCTCTGGTCTGCAGCATTGTCAGCCCTTTCTGAAAGGAGGAGGCGGTGGTTAGCAATGCATGCCTTCTCTCTCTCTCTGTGTGTGAGTGTGAGTGTGTGTGTATGTGTGTGCGCGCGCGCGTATGCCTTATGGTGACACCATACATCTCTCTACAGGCTGCTGAGGAGAGAATGAGAAAGCAGTCATCAGTGTGCTGTAAGTCCTGTTGAAATGGTGATTTATGTAAGCTTGTGAACTGTTGGTGTCATTATTATGGTTGCTTGTTTTATATGTATTAAGAGTGAAATGCATTTAAAAATGTTTGTCTCTGTTTAGCCAAGTCAATTAGCTTAGGCTGTTACAACTTATGGGTAACTTGCAAAGATCTTACGGTTTGTGAATCACAAATACAGTCATCTCTGTTGTGACCTTAATGCAGTGCTTGTTAATTTAATCTTTCTTCGTTCAGTGTTTCTACTTCTCTTTTAAATATGAAACTTTAAAATCGTCCAAACCTATTGTGAAATACACTTGTATAAGCTACAGTTCACTTCATATGCTGTATGAAGTTCGTCATGAGTTGCCGGTGTACTATACACATGATAGTGGTTGCAGGAATTGTAAACAGTGAGGTCAGAGGAGGCTTGATCAACTGAAATTACAGATAGTGAGAAATACTTAATAGTGGCTGTTCACAAAGTAGTTTTTTATGACATTGTCATTGTTGTAGTGGTAAATTGATTAACAAATAAAGCATGTTTTTAAACAAATAAAAGTTAACATTATTGAGGCCACAGGAGAAAGGAGAATCCCATCATAGATTATAATACAGCTGTTCTGCATTTACATTTATTTTTGAAGTTTTTTCTTCAAGAATGTCTATCTTTAAACTCAGTGATAGTGTCCTGGTGGTTAACATTTTCTCTCATTGTTTTTTATATTACAATTTCTGATGTAAGAGTGTTCGGTCTATTCTTCTGCGTGGTGATTAGTCTGTTTGCTTTATTGCAAAATAATGTCACATGTAATATGATATTTCATTATATCTGCGATGATTTGCACACATAAGCTTCTATTCCTGTGACTATTGGAATAAAGGCAAATAATCATAATCATAATGTGCTGTCAAGTCAGTTCTGACTTATGGTGACAATTTTTAAGTTTTTCCTGGTAGAGAATACTCAGAATTGCACATTGTTGTCTAGTTAATACATGAAACAGCATAACAGTTAGAAATAAGTGGGGGAAGAAAATAGGCCCTTCAGTATAAATTACAGTAGATTTTTCTCTTTTTTAATGACATATTAAGAGTATGTGGAGTTTGAGTAGTGTGTATTTGTTTGTAAACCCCAATCCCACTAAGATCTGTTGAAGTTTTGATGGAATTGTAGGCCCATGCTGCTGACCTGAAAAGGAGGTGGTGTTGAAAATGCTCTTGTCCAGCTTCTTTCCTCTATGTGCATTCTAGCCACTGACAAAGAAACGGGTAGAGTTGTACACACCATTATTTTTTCATAAATGTAATTAGGAGATTACAGGACTCATGCATGCAAGTCAGGATGTACACTGCAGAGAATATTCTATACTGTCCAGCTTCCCATCCTTGTTCGTTTGTCCAAGCTGAGAGAGTACTGACCCCAAATCTAGTGAACAGTAGCTGAGGGAATAGGAGAAAAACAACAGGCACATTGGAGCTCACAAAAATATTGGAGGGTATCTTTCACTGCAGTACAGATCTATTTCCTTATTACAGTACTACTGTTTGAGGTAATTTCCATGTTTTTGTTCTCAGCTTTTTTTCAGGTCCTGATTTCAATTCAGTGAACAGGCCATGTAAAATGTATTCTCGAAGGCTTTCACAGCCGGGATCTGATGGCTGTTGTATGTTTGGCCATATTCTGGAGGTTTTCCTTCCTAATGTTTTGTCAGTCTCTGTGGCCAGCATCTTCAGAGGACAAGAGTTAGGAGTTCTAACTCCTGTCCTTTGAAGATGCTGGCCACAGAGACTGGCAAAATGTTAGGAAGAAAAATCTCCAGAACACGGACGGCCCCAAACAGCCCCCAAAAAACTAATGACCATAGGCCATGCAAACTTAGGATGTTGATTACTAGCTTAATTACTTTCTGAAATATATAACTTCTACGTCTACGTTGGCTTGGGCATGTTGTGAGAATGGCTGATGGTCGGATTCCAAAAGATCTCCTGTATTAATTAATTAGTGCAGGGAAATCGCCCTGACACAAGGATATCTGCAAGCAGATCTGAAGGCCTTAGGAATGGACCTCAACAGATGGGAAACCCTGACATCTGAGTGGTCAGCTTGGAGGCAGGCGGTACATCAAGGCCTCTCCCAATTTGAAGAGACACTTGTCCAGCAGGTCGAGGCAAAGAGGCAGTCCCGAAACCAGCAAAATCAGGGATCTGGACAGGGAACAGATTGTATTTGTCTTCAGTGTGGAAGGGATTGTCACTCTCGAATTGGCCTTCTCGGCCACACTAGACACTGTTCCAAGACCTCTATTCAGAGTACGTTACCATTGTTTCTGGAGACTAAAGGATGCCTACATATAACTTCTGCTGTTAGAATTCTTCATGTTTGAGGTTGAGGATGAAATGAACCTGACTGGTTTTTTTTAAAGATTGCAGTAGAAAGTATCATTTAGAAATTATTCAAAAATTCTTGTTTATAAACATTCCAGGGTTTTCTCTTAGCTCAACACATTAATTTTTTTCATTGCAGATTGTCATAAATCAGTAATGAAAAGGGTTTAGGATGGACATGGAGGAGGAATGTAAAGTGCACTTGTTATCATTTTATCAACTAATTACTCTGCCTACAATGTAGAATAATGGAGCATTTTACATAGTATTGGACATATCTGGCTTGCAGAAAAATATGAAGCTATAACTTTTAGCAGAAAACACTCAACTCATGTTCTGTGACAATACTGTTAGAGTAATGTAGGTGTGAGATGTAGTTGAGCCATTATTTCTTGAACAGGGTCATTCTTTGGATTCTATATTCCTGTTCCTAGTCATAAGTATATGGCATCATATGCAAGTATGAAATTGGTACTTACTCGTTTAAAACGTATGGTAGTCCAGCAGGTTAATCTGACATTTTATTATGTCAGATTAAAGGTAGGCAATAATTATATTTCTTGTAAAAGCAAGAAGATTTTTGGCAGCTGCTAAATGAATTAAGAAGCTACACCCCTATTCTGTTATGTATTATTATAGACACAGACCAGCATACTGTATTTTATGAGCTGTAAAACAGATTGGGAGTAGTGGAGGATAAAGTCCAGAGTTTCACCCATTTTTGATCATGATTGTGAGAACCAAAGGGCAGTTAAGAACACTGAGACTGCTGTATATAAATGGTTGCTGAAAACTCGCTGCCCCAGCTACAATTTAGCTGTCATGAAATGAGCTGCAAAGCTCATTTGTCCCCTCACTCCCACTTCAGCATCTCACATGATTTCTTTTCTCACTTTCTGGTTTGACCAACACATGTTTTGCCATGAGGTGAACAAACTGACCTCCAAAGCAGAATTAGAAATCCAACTTCTAAGCTAGGAATTGGTTTCCAGTTTTGGTTTAGAGGTCTGTTCCACTCAAATCATTTCTTACTTCAGACATTATGACAAAAAGGGAGAAGGCAGAACTCATATAAAAGCTGATATTTAGGACAATGCCCAAAGCCTGTCTGAAGTAGCCATTCCATAGTTGAGCTATTGCAGCTGAAACATAGATATGTTAGTAATGTGATTTAAGTCACAAAATAATGTGAAGGCTGAAGAAAAATAATTCTCAACTAGGAAGACTTCTCCAGATTTTAAGAGGTGTGTATGAAATTTCCAAAAAGTAATGTAATATATATTCAGGTAAGAAAAAGCTAAAAAATAGAAATACTGACCCAAATCATGTTGCTTAATGTAAATTGCTTCTACTTTAACAGTGACTTATTATGCTAATGTAAGTCACAGTTAAAATAGGCCAATTTAAATCAATGGAATTTAAG